GGGCCCAACCCAAGTTTTATTCAGTCATGAAGGAGGAGTGGCTTAAGGATGAATGACTGAGAACTGCAGGAAGTAGGTGAGTACTGTTAGCTGGGCTAGGCAGGAGGCCTGCATTTACCTGTTATATGCAGAGAGAAGGATATGCAGAAAAAGTAATTTGCATTATACTATTGAGATAGTATCTAATATTTTGGGGTCTGGTGCTTTAGCTCTTATGTCTGATCTTTCAAGCCTGGGGAAGTCATAGCCTCTAACTTGAGGCTGGATCCCAGCCTACAGCGACAGCATAGAGCACTGGCTCTTTGTCCTGTCTTGACTGGGCTCATATTAAAGAGCAGGAAGTGTGAGTTATCAGGGAAACATGTGTGCTGCCTTCAAAGACTACCACCAGCATCTTAGCTAAACCAATATGCATTGCTTAAAGCCAGTAGTAGTTGGAGACTTCAGTTTTATGGCCCAAAGTTTCATGGGTGTCACCAGTAGATTAGGTGATATAGAAAGTCAGAAAAAACAATTAGGAAAGAAGGAAAGCATACCAAAATAAAGCTATGAAGAAGTGTTGAATTTCTGTTCCTATCTTTAGGCATGATGAATGTAGAGACAGGTGTTTCTAAACGAGGAAATAAAATAGGGGCCTCTTAAGTCTTTAGTTAATCATTACTAAGAGTGAAAAACAAACTTTACTAGTGAGGTTCCCCTGGGAAGCAAGTCAAAGACAGAGGGAAAAAGAAAAAAAAAGAGAGAGAAGAAAAGAGAAGAAATGAAATGAAACAAAATGAAACAGGGCTGGAGGAGATAGCTCAGCAGCATAAGTGCCTGCCTGGCAAGATAAGGTCCTGAGAGAGAGAGAAAGAAGAAGGAGGAAGAAGGAGGAGGAGGAGAGAGAGAGAGAGGAGAGAAGAGAGGAGAGAGGAGAGAGAGGAGAGAGAGGGGAAAAAAAGGAGAGAGAGGAGAGAGAGGGGAGAGAAAGGAGAGAGGGGAGAGAGAAACAGGTAAAGAAAGGCACCCAACAGTCATGGGACTTGCACTAAGGACCAGAGCTGACAGACAGGACACATAAAGAAATCCAGGTACACAAATGATAAGCCACCTGTACCGCCAATAAAATATAGGGAGAGCACAGGGGAGGGCTGATTCAGGGAGTAGGTACTCACACCTATGCACTAACATATACATATATACCTGTGTATTCATTCTAGAGTCACTATAGTACTCACTTTAGGATCACAGTCGAGTACAATAGATATCTACATGCCACCTTACTAACTGTAAGCTAACCAAAAAACACCTCCTTGCCAACTAGCTGCCCACCCCAAAGATAAGGCCTTAAAAGGTCTACTAAGGATAAATAAAGAGACAGAAAGAAGCTATACATCGACCACCAGAAGAAACAATGTTAGACAGAGGTGCCCAGAAGAAAGTACAGTTATGGCAAATTCCAGGGGCAGGGAAAAAGCCACCCCCCCATAAAAATACCTGAAAACAAAGTGTCCAGGGATCATCCATCTTTTTGCAGGGAGCCAGGAATCCTCCTGTAGACCTCTAAGGGGACTCGAGAAATCTTGAGGGTGCACCTTCCTGTTGGGACCTGGAGAGGTCCTTGCTCCATCTACAAGGGCCACAATGCTGACCAAAGAGGTCAGCATGGTCAGCAGGGCTAAGGCAGGAGGATCACTGTGAGCTCAAGATCAGCCTGTGCAACAAAGTAAGGTCAAGGTCAGCCTGAACTGCATAGCAAGACCCTGTCGGAAACACACACACACACACACACACACACACACACACACACACGAATACAGAATAGGGGTTTTTCCTATAGAGAGTTGGGTTAGTGACACTTCCTGGCTTTTTGAAGGTGACTGATACCTACTCAGGATATCAATCCCTGGTATGTGAGTACTTTTATCTATCAGAAGTGTTGGGTCTCTTCCACAGAAGGTATATTATCTTTTCCTTCAGGGCCAGCCTATAATATGTCTAATACATCTAATTCAGCTTCCTACAACATGGTGTTCTCACTCTTATATGACATAAGCAAGCAGGAAGTACAAAGGCAGAATGGACTACAATGTGTCACGATGACCAGCCATTTCTAAGAGACAGGAGCAACTGGAACTGGAACAGGATCTATTACCTGGGCAACTAACTCAAGTACACTGGCTGGGGTGGAGTGGGGGGAACATTTTCTGCTACACTGGAGCCCCCTACCCTGATTCCTTCTTATCAGAGTAGCTATCTTCTCTTTTCTCCTCCCTTTTCCTCTTTACACATAGTGTCTACCTTTTGTTAAATTTTTTCCCTCTAATTTATTATTGGGGCTAAATTATGATATCAGTGGGCAGCCCAGACAACAGAACAGCAGTACTCCTCCTCCAGATGCAACAATGAACACTAGACATACAATAGACACTTGAGTCAATATAGTTATTTGATATGATATTAATAATTGAAATTACTTCAATGAGGTTGTATCCTCATAGTTTTTACCTTTTGCAGGATGAAGTTCTTAGCCTAATATAAAGTCTTAGCTAGCTCCAAAGTACTTTGAACAACTTTTTTTTTTAAAAGACAGTTTTTCTATGCCATTCAGGCTGGCCTTGAACTTATTTTGTGGCCCAGGCTGGCCTTGAACTGGTAGCAATCCTGCTTCAGCTTCCAGAGTACTGAGATTACACACACATGTGCCACCATGCCCAGTTTAGGCCCCCTTACTGAAGCTCTAAAATGCATCAATATTTTAACCACTGATAGTTACTAAACTTGAAATCCCACTCTTCTTTTCAGATCCTTCCACCTAAATCCCTACCTTTACAACACATTTCAGGCAGCATTTCCACAGGAAGTGCTTCTCCAAGCTGCTTTTGGCGCACCCTAGTCATAGCCCTCAAGCATTGTATTGTATTTCTGTTCACAGTCTATCTTTCCCATTTAGTTGAGTTTGTTGATGACAAATTCAATAACGTTTACATATTTGAATCTTTAGGAATTCTAAAGTACCAGGCAAGTTGTTACTGACACAGGGAGAAAAACTGATCTCAGGTGGATGACCTCCAAATGATATAGGGGAAAAATGAAACACCCTACCTGAAAAGTACCTGGGATGAGTTTGTGTTCTCTAAAACCAAAGAATGAATTTTAGGAACAAACAGAAGTTATGAGCAGAACATATTTATTGGAGGAAAGAAAGTTTCTGTCCAAGAGAGTGACAGAAGAGGGGCCCCTGAGTGGGTAATCCTCCAAAACTGTCTTTTCCAGGAATTTTTATAGAGTAAAACCATGTGGTGAGGCAGGTGGAGAACATGGGAATTCACTTAGGTGGGCATGAGATGGATAAAACTATGGACAACCAATGAGGTAACAAGCATCATACAACTGATTAAACCCAGTACCAAATGAGGAAGTGAGCCATGTAGCCAGTGGGCATGAATATGGAACAGGGTTGTTTCCTGTTGGTGGTTGGGTTAGTGACTCATTTGGGCTCTCTTAAGGTGATTGATACCTATTTAGAATGTCAATCCCTGATGTCCATCCCTAGGGAAGTATGCAGCTGTATTTGTTTCTTCTTTTGTCTTCAAGTCTGGCCTAGAGGGAGTGTCCGTCTCTTCCAAGTTGCAAAGTCACCTTGTCTTCCATACTGCTTCCTTCAGGGCCTGGTCCTGTGTACCTCTAATATTTCTATCTAATTCAGCTGCCTACAACATTCCTCCCCCTCTGAAGCAATAGTTCGAACTGCCATGAGGGTACCATGGGCGATGGCCACTCTGGCTTCTTCAGGCTAAAAGGGGTTGTAGTTGTGAGCCTGCAGTCAGAGGTACTCTCTATAGAGGTTGTACCTAAAGGCTCTCAATAGACACCAAGCATTATTCTCTCAGGTAGGCGGAAGAGCCTTTTAAGTCTGGAGGAGACAAAGCCAAAGAAACAGTTAAACATGTATAGGCCAAATAATAACATCAACAGGATAATTATGAATACAGGAAAAAATGATTTTCACCAAGTAGACAGTAATGACTTTCCATAAAAATGATAAAGATATGGTCCACGGGACCTTAGCATTTTACATACCATTGATTTGATATCTAATATTTTTTTTTAAATTTTATTTATTTATGTGTGTGTGTGTGTGTGGCCAGCTCAGCCCACCAGGGGGCGGGGCTGGCTGGCATGTGGTGCTGGGGGATTGAACCATGGTCCCTGTGCTTTTTTGCTAAGCTTGTTCTAAGTAGGTGCTTTAGACCACTGAGCCATCTCACCAGCCCCGATATCTAATATTTTGAACAGCTATTGAGACATTAGAACTATCTGGAAGGTAAGAACTTTTTAAGTTTGTAATTATAAAAAGACTAATCAGAACGTTTTATAGGTCCATTAGCAAGTATCTCTTAGCTGAGTTGCAGACTGGGACAAGCACCACAGATTGAGTCAAGGGATGGAAATGAGGTCACAGACCCATCAGGCCAAGATGAAGTCATCAACTATAGCACCTGTGGGCAAAACTGCAAAGGAGAGCAACAAGGGGTAGCTGGTCTACATTATCTGGCCCTGTGGAGATGTGGGGGCGGCAGCTGTTTGGCGTCAGGCCTCACTTTTGAGCTGTCTTCCCGTAGGAACTATTAGGAAGATAAAGAAAGGTGCTTAGTAAACTGTGACCCAAAGTAATCACCTTGTAGGCCGCAAGCCCAGTCTGTCTGGCTTCTGCACAGTGTCAACTACCCCAGCAGTTAGCCTGCAGTTAGTTTCACTTTCTTTAGCAAAGGCAGCTAGACAGCCTGGCTGGCTTCCAAAAAGCCACAGCTCTAAGAATCTGCGCCTCTTTGGACACGAGGTGACAGGTCTTCCTTGTGAGACACTGCACATTCAAAACCAAGCTGTTCTCAGACCAGCCACTAACCATTTCGGTGGGGTCTGGTGCGTCCCTTGCCCGAATTCCTTCTACCGGAAGGGCTCCAGCCACCCTCCCAAGGCCTGCCGGGAAGGGGCGGTCGGCCAGGAGGGCACTTCCGCCGCTATGGCGTCCCGGGCGGCTGTGGTCATCTGCTTTCTTGCCGCTGTCCCTTTCTTATGTCTGGAGCTTCAGCGTGGGATCCCAGAGATAGGTAACTGTCCAATTTTATCTTCTGCTGCTCACGGCTGGGACATTTTCACACAGCTGTCGCACAGAATCATCTCCGCGGCCGCGGCACGGCGGAGCGGCGTTGACTACAGTTCCCAGAGTGCACCACGCCGCCTCCCTCTTCCGCGTCCGACTGCTTTTGGCGGAAACAGCTCCGGGGCTAGCTGAGATTTGCGTGGGAAAAGACAGACTCGAGGAGTACCGGGTAGTTGCAGACAGTATTGTATTTCTACATTTCACTGCGTGCTCAGAAGAAAAAATAAAGTCAAGAGAAGGAAGGACGGGGGAACTGGAGTATGTCAGCAAAAGGAGTGCGACACATGGGAACAGACGGGTGAAGGCCGATGTGGCTGATCAAGGAGGCAGGAAAGAGGCCCAAGATAGTGCAATTCGGTCACTGAACCCCCATATAGGTCAAACATTAAACCCTATGCATTATTTCATTTGATATATTCGAAAACTGTAAAGAGTTTGTAAATGTTTCTCCCCGCCAGTGGGGATTGACCCAAGATCTTTCATACTGACCTACATCCCCCAGCCCATTTAAATTTTGAGACCGAGTCTCGCCAACTGACAGAATTGCCCAGGCTGGGTACGAATTTGTGATCCTGCCTCAACCTTCCGGAGTGCTGGGATTACTAATCCCCATTCTACAGTAGAGGAAACTGAGGCTCTCGGGAGGACAAATGATTTTCTTGACCTTTTCGAAAGGTCTTCCCGGATTCTGTGTGGAGCATGTTTTGGAAGGAAGCTATAATGGAAGGCAATGAGGAAAGCTAGGATTTAGAAGCTGGTAAATAGCACGCTGGCCTGGATGAGGATAACAGATGAAATGAGCAGGGATCAGGCTTGTTTGATGGTTTGATTTTATGTGAGAGACAGCAGGGGATTGAACAACCATAGATTGCTGGTCAGGCCAGTGGTAACGAGGACAACGGATGTAGAAAATCAGGAGTTGATTTTTGAACATAGTGATAAGTTTATATGTCTATCTTTCTTCGTAAGCAGAGCTCTAACATAAAAATCATGATAGGACTGGGGAGACAGCTCAGTGGCTTAGGTGCCTGCCTGGCAAGTGGAAGGTCCTAGTGCAATTCTCGGTACAAAAAACAAAAATCATGCTTAAGGGGGGCTTGGTGGTGCTGCCGATTATCTCGGCACTCAGGAAGGCTAAGGCAGGAAAACCACAACTAGAGCCCAGCTGGAGAATTTAGCAATTTAATGAGACCCTCTCTCAAAATACCATTGAGAAAAAAACCCAAAGAAACCCTCTTAGCTCTTTGCCCTCTCCATCTTCTCTGCTGCTGAAGAGTCAAGTGGACAGAACTGTTTTTTGAAATAAGATATTTAAAAAAAAAAAAATTGGACCAGCCAGATAGCTCAACAGACTAAAGCGCCTGCTTAGGCAGATGCAGGGACTGGGGTTCAGTCCCCGGTGTGCTGTGCCAGCCCCACCCTGGGGGGCACTGAGAGGGTCAATGAGACTGGGCTTGGTGGTGCACACCTGTAATCCCAGCGCTTGGGTGGCTAAAAACAGGATCAGTATCAGTCTGATCATATAGTGAGACCTAGTACTAAATACATAAAAGAAAAAAAATTTACTCAAACTATGTTGATATATTACAAGACCTTTAGCGAAATGATAAATAAAAAAGTTAAGTTCACACTTAACTGTTGCAAAAGTGGCCTGCTGCCCTGCCTTTACAGCACCCTCCCTAGGACTGCTCCTCTATCAGCTCTGGCCTCAGGGAAATGCACTTCTGGAGGGTAGAGGCCATCTCCGCTGTGTTTTTGTATTCCCAGAAGTTATCCCTATGTCCTATTTATTTTTTTGAAATAAGGTTTTGTTTATATAGTCTAGGCTAGGCCTGAACTATCAGTCCTCTCTCAGCTGCCCATGTATTGGAATTACATACAGACTTGCCACCATGCCTGTCTGCAAAGTCTAATGACACTAGGCCAAAGTGCTAGGAAGTACAAATAGGCTCCTGGCACTATCTCTTAGTTCTTGACATTTATTTTTTTGTTTTGTTGTATTTAGGACAGGGTCTACAGGATCTCACTGTGTAGATCAGACTTAGTGGTTCTCCTATTTTCAGCCTCCCAAGTGCTGGGATTACAGGCAAGTGCCACCACACTCTCTCGACTTCACCACGTCTGCTTTTGACATTTTTTACAGAATTTTTTAATGTGAACTGCAGTTGTTTCCTATGGCTTCTTTTTTTGTGGGTTTATTTGGTGGTACCAGGGATCAAACTCAGGACCTTGTGCTCACCAGGCAAGCGCATATTCTGTTGATCTATCTCCTCGGTGCCCTTTTTCCCCCCACTTTTTTTTTTTTTTTTTTTAAAGTGGGTCTCAGTAGCTCAGGCTGGCCTTGAACTCACTGTGTACTTAACCCCAGGGTGACCTCAACCTCACAATGACCTCCTGTCCCTGGCTGGATGCTGATATTCTTAGAGGCTGCCATTTGGAGTCTGAGAGGATGATACAGGGGTAGAAATGGAACTATTCAGTTGCCTGCTATCTTTTTAGACATCCAGTATTGAAAAGTGATCCATATTTTTTTTGCTATTGTCTAAAAGCCTTCACTGCCATGCTGGTAATCAAACCAAGAGCCTTGTGTATGCTAGGCCTGTTCTCTCTCACTAAGATACATTTCCAGGCCTTTCCAATTCATTTTATGTGTAGTGAAATTAAATATTTAAGGCTGGTTCCTCAGTTTCCTTATCCTTCAAAGTGCCCTGGTTATAGGCTGTGGAACTTAACTATATACCTTCCTTAAGAATGCCCCTGAAACCTTAATTTAAATATCTTTTTACTTGAAAGTTGTACATACAAATTTAGTTCTTTTTTCTTTTTAAAATGTATTTAGTACAGGGTCTCACTATACAGATCAGACTTGTAGTGATTCTCCTGTTTTTAGCCTCCCAAGCGCTGGGATTACAGGTGCACCTTACCACACTCAAATGACACTCACTGTCTGTGCACCCTGGGGGTGGGCAGAGCAAGCTGGGGATCGAACCTGGCTGCTGCTCTCTGCCTTAGCAGGCGCTTTAGTCCACTGAGCTATCTGGCCCGTCCTTCAAATTTAGTTCTTTTGTATTCCTATGTGATTCTTGCAGATTGCTTACTTTTTAGCACAAAAAGCAATATTATGCTACATATATCACATAGCTCAGTACTTTCTGTCTGTACCAATTAGGTGTTAAATTACTTTTGTAATGGCTGGAGTTACCCTAGATTCAGTTACATATTGTATTGAATAACACCTGAGTCAGTAGTTAATGTTATCAAAAATTGGAGGAGCTGTGATTAAAAAGAAATTTCTTCTTTAAACTTTCCTTTTTTTTAAGGCTAATGTATGTTTTCAGTCTAGAGCATTGCTGGGCATAGTGGCACACACCTATAAGCACTGGTGGGGCTGAGGAAGGAGGACTGCTAAGAGTCCAAGCCAGCCTGGGCTACATAGTAAGATCCTGTCTCAAAAAAAAAAACAAAACAAGAAAAAAAGAAAAGAAAAGCATTTAACTCTTGTTTTTATTGTTCCTTCTTTAATGTTTAATTGACTGTCATCTGCAATCACATTGTTCATATGGTTTTTTATGCCGCCAAGAAACATTAGGAAGTTAAAAGACAAAAAAAAAAGACAAAACAAGACCAAAAACTCTTAGAAACCATTTTACCTAGTTTTGTCTTCCCTTAACATTTAGCAAATTTTGTCACACAAAGCAGGTGTTCTACATATTTTTTTATTTTTATTTATTATTATTTGTGTGTGTGTGTGTGTGTGTGTGTGTGTGGCCAGCTCAGCCCACCAGGGGGCGGGGCTGGCTGGCATGTGGTGCTGGGGGATTGAACTGTGGTCCCTGTGCTTTGCTAAGCTTGTTCTAAGTAGGTGCTTTAGACCACTGAGCCATCTCACCAGCCCCTGTTCTACATATTTTAAATTATATAAATTTCCCCCTCCTTTCTGGGTAGGAAGAAACCCAAAACTCATGTTTTACTGACTTTTTATTTGCCTGTTTGTCTTCTGATTACTACTGGCATGCCAGGGAGATAACTCAGTGGTATAAGTACCTGCCTAGCAAGCACAAGGTCCTGAGTTCGATCCCTAATACCAAAACAAAAGGATGAATACTGGAGATTGAACCCAGGACCTTTACACTAAGCTACCTCCCAGTCCTTTATATTTTATTTTGAGACAGGATCTTGTTAGGTCACTTAAGTTGCCCAGGAAGGACTCAAAATTTGCCTTCCTCATCCTGAGCTTTCCAGAGTGCTGGGATGACAGATGTCCCCCACCATGGCTGCTGCTCTACTATTTATAATGTAACTGAGTGCTAAAATTATAACTCTTCATAAAATAGAAGATCTTTATTCTAGAATTATTTTTCTGCAGGTTCATTCTGGTAATGATACCTATTATGAATTTTAGTGTCTAAAAGAGAATTGTAAGACAGTTACATAACTTACTATACATTTTTAGTGTAAGTACTCTATTGCTACTTATTTGTATCAAAATTTTTAAATTAAAAAAATTTAAATGTTATTCTTTTTTTCCTATAAGGGATTAAAGATTTCATTTTGCTGTGTGGACGGATTTTTTTACTGCTTGCTCTTCTTACTTTAATTATTTCCGTGACTGCCTCATTGCTTAACTCACTCAAATCTTCCCAAGTTTGTCTGAAAGGTGAGTTTATTCTTTATGTTTCCCTTCAAACTATTCTACTGACATATCTTTTATTTATTGCATGGTAATAACTATGAATTTGTGATGTGTAATTTCAAGGGGCATGATAATTTATAACTCCTGGGATGGTTATTTTGAATGGACTGTAAATCTCAACATTTTTTATCAGAAATTATAAACTTTCCTTATATATCCTTCTGAAATTGTCATTTCTGAGTTGTTGCATTGTAAATGACCTAATTTTCCATTGTGTATTAATTTCACTTAAACTGCTGTGTGATAGCTATGATTTGTAAACTTTTCCGAAGAGTAATTCTGTCTACCATAGTCTTGAAAAGGCTTTTCATTGTCATTTTAAGTTTTATTCTATCTAAAATAATTTAGGCACTTTTGTCTTATGTGTAGCTAAGTCCTTTTAATTTTAGGAAATCATGCTTGTTTTTATTTTTGTTTCTGTTTTGATAAGTTAGAGTTTGAGTTCTAGAAGCCTTCTAATAATACTGTATGTAGACTCAGAATAGATGGCTTTTAAAGCTAAAAGCTGCATTCTTTTACGTAGTAGAAGAAAGTTTACCAGTCATGAATTTAGTGGCTTACATTTTTTGATTTATTTAAATGTAAATAAATGAAATATTAAAACATTTAAATGTTAAAGAAATAAAGCACAAAAATCATGCTGTGCAAGCTGGGCAGGGTGGTGCACACCTGTAATCCCAGCAGGCTGAGAAAGGAGGATCGATGGGAGTTCAAGACCAGACTGGGCTACAAAGTGAGCTCAAGGCCAGCCTGAACTGGGTAGTTGAGACTTTGTCTCAAAAAGACAAAAACAGGGGCTGGGGAGATAGCTCAGTAGAATAAGTGCTTCCCTGGGAAGTGCAAGGGCCTGAGTTCAATCCCCGGTTCCGCCTAAAAAAAAAAAAAGACAGAAACAAAACAATCATGCTATACAGTTTAATCATAGTGACCATATAGGTGTTTCAAGATATCTTAATCATGGTACTACTTTTTTGTTTTCATTTTAATAACTTATTTGGTGTTTTATACTTGGTATGACACAGTTAGAAATTAAGAGTATCGTAATTTCCTTTATAAAGGAATTTTGTGTTAAATACATTTTCAGGGATGGGGGTATAAAGGCATGATTAGCATGAACAAAGCCCTGAGTTCAGTTCTTAGCACTCATTAATAAATAAAAATAAAATATTTTGGGCCAGGGAGATGGCTCAGTGGAATAAGCACTTCCCTGGCAAGGGCAAGGGCCTGAGTTCAATCCCTGGTTCCACCAAAAAAAATAAATAAATAAATAAAATATTTTGATACCAGTGAGATACTTGGTGCTTGCTTACATTTCAACTAGCAGGTCAAGCGGTCTGTGTTCTGTTGTACAAATAAGGGGAATCTGTCTTTGCCATAGTTTCTGTACTTTTAAGCACATCTGTATCTTTTTGGCTGAAGTACAAGTTATTTGGTAAATTTATGAATTGACAATTGAGAGACATAATCTTCAAGTGACAGCTACTGTTTTCTAATATGCAATATCTTTAAACTGTGTTTAGTGACTTGCAGGGGTCCACCCCTCGTAAAGGGGAACAGGGTAGAGGGAAGAAGGAATAAAAAAGAAACCTGGGTTTGGGAGGACCAAGCTGCTGGCTCAGCTACTATGTTTATTGGTTCTGAGGATATATACAGAAAGTTTTGAACAAGTGCCCAACATTTGCCCTAATTAACTCTAAGCCTTCCCTGTTTGCCTGGGAACAGAGTAGCTTGCCAAGGCCAAACTGATAAACAGGAGACCATACATTCCAGAGCCCTGGGAATGCAGGTGAGCGCTTTGCTCAAACTCTGGGACTACAGTGAGCCTGTTGCTTAGACTGCAGGTCAAGGAAGCTGGGCACGTTGCCACATTTACTTCCTTATGATTGTTCATTCTGGGACCTGGTCTCTAACAGTGCCTGATTACTGGCAGATTCTCTTCTAAAAAACCAGCGTGCTGACATACTTCCTATCTCTGCTATTGTCATCGGATACTGAGATATAAAAGTGTACAGGTTTGGTGCATCAGAGGTTCAGAAACAGTTTATAGGGGCTTAAAGATTATCCCCTAGGTGCCATATCCAGTGGCAAGAGGATGGCACTCACTATGCCTGCACTTGTCTACTTCATATTTCATGTGCAGTAATGGCTTTCTGTGCTGTGCCCTAGACCTGCTAGAGCCCTGCTGAAGCAAGAAAAATAGGGTTCTGGTGGCTGGTGGCCAAAAGAAGAGGTGAACAACCATTACTCCAGCCCTACCTCACCTGCGATAAAAACAGGAGGGCTCTTTGCCAGCATGAGTCAATTTTGCCCCAGAGACCTACCACAAGTACTAAGACTCATTCATGCACTAGAGACACTGAGGGCGCTACATGCTGCTGGGCTTTATGCTTGTGCGTGTAGGTTATGCTGTTGCTACACTGATTTATACATACGCTAATGCATTTCATAGAGAACATTTCTAATCTCAAGGTACTCCAACAACAGGGCTTCTCTATCTGTGCAGGAGCCTGCATTCTGGGCTTTTCTGAGGAGCAGCCTGCTGCTATCTATCTGTGATTCTTATAAACTCTCTTTACTATTACTTGTTAGTTAGCTCTGTCTAATTCCATCTCTCCTGAGTCAAAGAACTCACAAATCCAGTGACATCATCAGAATGTTCTGGAGGCCTCTTTAGCAATACTGTTATACATCATAACACTTGGCAGAGAATTATTTTCAGAAGAGACCATGTTATAAACTTTGCTATAGATTTCATGGGCAGAATTCTTTGTTTCAACTATTTGCATGTGCTTTATTTTTATTTCTTGAAAAAATACAATCTTTGACATCCATCTCTTCCTCCGCCTCAGCCTCCTGAGAGCTGGGATTACAGGTGTGCCCCACCATGCCCAGCTGTTCCAAAATATTAAAATCTACAGACTATCTTCAGAGAATATGCCCTTTGACTTACTGATATGTGTACATTAAAAAACCTTTTTGTGTTTTGATGTCTTAGAAGATGGAGAAGAGAATAAGAGAAGACAACTTGTGAGAAAAAAACAACAAGAAGCACAGATTGCAAAGGTAAGGCATAATTGCTCATCTTATGCAGATATGTGCCTAATAATAAAGATGCACGTATGTATCTATAATACATATTATATATGTACATATATGTTTATGTGTGTATTTATGTATTTAGTGTGTGTATGTGTTGGGGGGGAGATGGAAAAGGAGAGGGAGAGATAGGGTCTCACAATGTAATTTAGGCTGGTCTTGAATTCACTGTGCATCCCAGGCTGGCCTTGAACTCATGATGATCCTCCTGCCTCAGCCTCCCGAGTGTTGAGGAGTAATTTAGTGTGCTCTGTATCTCTTGATTCTTTTGCAGTTGTCCTTCTCTAGAGAAAACTCCTTCACACCCCTGCTGAGGGATTTAAAGCCAAGTCAAGTGGGAACTGGTAGTTGGCGTGTGTGTCCCTCTTTACACTCTCCACCTTACTTGTTCACTCCTGTCTTCCAGAGGCCTGTGGATAAACCCTCCACTTCTGGTGGTGTGTGATAGGGAAGTTGGTCTGGGGGTCCTGTAGGCAGCTGAATTAGATAGAAATATTATAGACAGGGGCTGGAGAGATGGCTCAGTGGTCTAAAGCACCTACTTGGAACAAGCTTGGCAAAGTACAGGGACCGTGGTTCAATCCCCCAGCACCACATGCCAGCCAGCCGCGCCCCCTGGTGGGCTGAGCTGGCCACACACACACACGCACACACACACACACACACACACACACACACACGATAAATAAATGTTAAAAAAAAAATAAAAAAAAAAAAGAAATATTATAGACAGTCAGGCAGGGCCAGGCCCTCCAGGAGATAGCACAGAAAGCAAGCTACCTTACAACTGTAAGAGGTATGGATGCTCCTGCTGTGGACCTAAAAACCAAAGTTCGAACAAACGCTCACCTCCCTAAAGATAAGCATCCAGGATTGATCATCACCTTGACGAAGCCAGAAGAGTTACTAATCCAACTGCTACCGGCTGGCTACTGGATAAATTCCTGTTCTATATTCATCCCTGCTTGCTATGTGACTTGCTTCTCCATTCAGTTCTGGATTTAATCAATTTTACTTGAGCAATGCTGCTTGTCATCTCATTGGTTGACCATAGTTTTGTCCCACCTCATGCCCTCCTAAACAAGTTCCCATGTTTTCCGCCTTACGCCTGCCTCACTGCATGGTTTTCTGGAAGCTAGAGCTTCCTAGGGACAACCTGTTTAGGCTTCCCTTCTGTTCCTCTCTCTTGGACAGAAGCTTTCTTTCTCCAATAAGTATTATTCTGTTGGGGG